ATAGTATACATCTTAAGCACACAAACTGAAGATAATCTTATAGATTTTTTTTCAGTAGTGGAGACTGAACCCAGGACCTTTGCACTGAACTACATCTTAACCCTGATTTATTTTTTATTTTGAGACTTACTTTGCTGATTCACTAAGTCATCCAGGCTGGGCTCAAACTTGTGATCCTCCTGCCTCAGCCTCTCAGAGCACTGTGCCATCACATCCAGCTTATACTATATTTATATAGAACCTGTGTCCTGACTGGGACTCATCACATGAGGTCAAGTGTCGAATTCTTCACTTGTGGTATCAGGTTCAGTGCTCAAAAAAATTCAGTTTTGGGAGCACTGCGGATTTCAGATTTTCCAATTAAGGGTGTTCAAGCTATATTTATTGAGCATTTTCTACTTGGCAAGTACTTTTCTACGTACTTTTCATAATTTATGTAACTTGATTCTTATATCAACTCTATAACATAGGTGCCATTCCTATCCCATTTTACAGATAGGAAGCTTAAGTCAAAGTTCAGTGCCCACGCACTGTGGATGTAGAATCTCCCTCTTAACCACTCATACTTTACTGCCTTTTTATCTACTACTCAATTAAAAAGTCAGGGCCACTTGGGCATGGTGGCACATGCCTGTAATCCCAGCACTCGGGAGGCTGAGGCAGGAGGATCGCTGTGAGTTGGAGACCAGCCTGGGCTACATAGTGAGTTATAGGTTAGTCTCAACTACATAGTGAGACCCTGTCTCAAAAAAAAAAGGCAGGGCCGGGGATTTAGCTCAGTGGTTCTGCTGCCTGCCTTGCAAGCACAAGAACCTGAGTTCAATCCCCGGTACCAAAAAATAAATAAATAAATAAAAATTAAAAATAAAAAGTCAACTTCGAGAGCAGAAAAATCTGCCTTAATTATCTCTGACTCCCCTGCAACCCTCAATACATGGCCTATCACAAAGAAGGTCGTGGTTACCACCTTTTAAATTAAATCACTAGTGAACTTAGAAAAGACACATAAAGACACCTATGACTATCTCCCCACAGTACACACACTACCTCTACTTCCTACTTTTTAATCTCAAGCAAGGTGTATACCTGACACTCAGCCCTATACATCTGTGCCCCAACTCCACCAAACATCTCTCACACAGACCTGCACACCCCTGCTTCCTGAATCACATTCCAGCCCATTTTACACACACACACACACACACACACAGGTGACTCCAGGAAGTACAGACACACAAAACACTGCAAAATCCCAGCCTACTCTCTCCAAGCTTTGGCAGATAATCAGCAGCAGGTACACAGACTCTCAGTTACTCATACTTAGCTTTGTCTTCAAGTTTATGTGGCCAGACACCCCCAGAAGAGAAAAAAGCAAATTTCCTGGCACGGAGGTTCTCATAGTCAATGGGTAAACCCAGACCCTGGGAAGCAGAGGAGATTCCAAAAAAATCCACAAATCCACATGGACACCAAGTATCTGAAAGCAAACCAGCTCATCTTGTGTATAAAACTAAAAATCTATTTTTCTAATGTATATTTTATTAACCACAATGGCAAACATAACATCAAAGTCATCTAAAAGCTTTCCAAATTCACAGAAGCTTTGAGTCATTTATTTTTCCTAATAAACAGATACAAAAATAATAACTACTATTTGGAAGGAGTACCGTGAATTACTGACTTTTTAAAATGCCCTTAGCTGAGCGTGGTGGCACACACCTGTAATCCCAGCACTCAGGCAGCTGGAGCAGGAGGATCACCAGGAGTTCGTGGCCAACCTGAGCTACATAGTAAATTCAAGGCCAACCTGAACTACATAGCAAGACTCTGTCTCAAAAGAGCAACAACAATTGAGCCAGGGATTTAGCTCAGTGGTTCCACCGCCTGCCTCCCAAGCACAAGACCCAAGTTCGATCCCTTGTACCAAAAAATCCCTTTAAAAAAAAAAAAAAAAAAAAAAAAAAAAAGAACAATAATAATAATGCCTCAATTTCAGAAAAAAATGGAAAAACTCAAAGCAAATAATAATGAAGTAACTATAACTTCCAGAGAAGCTTGAAGAGTTTAGCCCTGAGAAATGCGCACAGACCGGGAGCCAGACCCACTCCCCTTGAAGCCTTCCTAACTCCATCCCAATAAACAACAATGAGAATCCATGCCCTTTCTCCTTGGCTAGATAAGAATGCACTATGGGGCTGGGGATTTAGCTCAGTGGTTCCACCGCCTGCCTCACAAGTGCAAGGTCCCGAGTTCGATCCCTGGTACCAAAAAAACAAAACAAACAAACAAACAAACAAAACCCTAAAGAATGCACTAGAAGAGGTGCAATGAGTACAGGATATTACAAAGCTGCCTTAGAAATAAGGAATAAATATAGGTGATAAATAAATAAATAAGTGGAGAAGAAATGAAGTCATGGTGTGGGGAGAAGGAGGGAGCTGGTAGAATCGTTGCTGCGTCCATCCTCTCCAGGTGCAGTCAGTGTCTGCACGTGGCTACCCAATATATATCTGAAAACATATGAACATATATGGCCTTACCTCAAGCCTGTGTTCTCTCAAGCACTTCATTCATTCTACAAATCTTTATCAAACACCCACTAAGCGTGGTACTATATTAGGTGCAGAGAATACAGAGATGAATAAAGACACGTCTTGCCCTTTCCAGAGAGCACCACTCTCTCAATGGATCACACACACACAGACACACACACAACACATACACTCGGGCAACCCTGCCTGTACCAGCTGTCTGACACCCACCCAATATTTCCCTTCTTTTTTCTTACATGAATGTCTTACATACACACACAAAATGGGTCAGACATACACATAGCCATCTCTCTCAGCTCCATCACAGTTAACACATTCATCTGATGCACACCCAGCACACCCATTTAATACCACCATCCACTTTACACACAGTCACTCAAATACATCTTACACACACAACAGTCATTCAGAAGCACAGCCTTCAATTGGCTCACTGAAAGCCTCTGGCCAATGAACACTTTCAGGGAAGGGACTGACCAGGGTGCCTCTGTGTGTATTTCTCATACACCCAGGCCCAAGTTAGCCACAGCGAGACCAAAGACCAATTACTGCACGCTCTCTACAGCCTGAATTTCCCTTCCATCAAATTATAGAATGGTTCATCCTATTCTCAGGAAGGCTTGGTGGGGTGGAGTCATAGTAGTAGAGAATAAAAATAAGGTCCTGGGAAGATTTTTCATAAACTCCAAGTGTCTTACCAAGGCCTCACATTCAACAGCCTATCTATGGGAGCCTGCACACAAGCATGCACCCTTAAGCTTTATGCTGCTCACCCCACTAGGCACTGGGCTCCTATCAACAAGCACTACTATTCAGACAGATCCATTCACACATAAAATACATGCTGCCAGACTCGCAGGCCTCTGCACACAAGACACAATTTCACAGTTTAGGGAGCACTTCAACTCCCTGGAGAAAAAGCGAGAAGGCGTCAGATTAACTTAATACACACAGTTCCTGAAGGTACATCCTACAACCAACCATGTACAAATAACGCCACAAAAACAATCCCAAGCCCACAACTACAAATACACAGTGAAAACCTACAGATCTGGCAGTCCCCAAGGCTGTCCACACGCACACAGCCACAGGGACACCCAGTCCCAGAGCCTCATTAGTTTGTGGGCACAAACATTACATACACACCCTCCCCCAAGGCCCTTCCTCCTACAGATGCACACACACACACACACACACACACACAAAACTGTCCAGTGACCCAACCCTTCAAGAGGTACTAGAGAGAGGAAAGCATATCTGACTGCACACCAGTCCTGGAAAAAGAGCTGCCACCCCTAAACTGACAAAGAACCTGTCCCCTACCCTCACCCAGACCAAATTAAACAAGGTCCTGAAAGTCCCTTCTGTCTTCATCCCCTCTGAGGCTACAATCCAACCCTAGCTCAACCCTCTGTCCTTGTTTCCTCACTTCAGACACACCCTCCTGCAGCTGGTGTGCAAGCCCAAATCCCCTCCCCGAGGACCCCCTTCAAGTCTTCATTCCATGTTCAATCCCAAGTCCCAGAGCCCCGGGAATCCCAAACCCCACGGTCTACGGGCTATACAAGCCTCCCTTCCGGTCCTCAGACCACCTGCTATCCTGAGCCCTCACAACTACAGCCAACTCCTGGCCAGGAGCACCAACCCGCCCCCCTTTCTTCTTTGGCCATTTCGTGATGAAAAGGAACACAGGGTTCCCTCTGTCTTGTTGGGTTCGGGCACAGCCTCCCACTCCCTACTCCCTACTCCCTACTCTGGCTCACCAGCCCTCACCCAAGCCATCAATCATGGGGGGGAGGGACCCTCACGGGCTCCACCCACAAGACCTGCCCCTATCTCTCATAGGCCCACCCCTGTGTCTCACAGGACCTGCCCACACCGGTCCCGCCCAAACCCCCCACGCCCCACTCAAGGCTCCAAAGTGACTCCACAGGCTCCGCCTCCTACAGACACAGGTACCCGCCTCAAAGCCTGGGCCACACTCACTTACCTTCCCACACAGACCCCACTCACAACCCTTCCAGACCCCACACACGACAGCGTCTGCTCCCCAACCTCGCCCTGTACAGGCCCGCTCCCATGTTAGCCCCCCCATACTCCACGGCTCCACTCACTGTTTCTAGCAGGCCCGGTCCACACGACCTCACTAGCCCCCTCAGACCAGACCACACAGACTACTACAGGTAGCCGGACCGCGCACACGCTGGCCACGCCCACTTCGGCCACGCCCACGCCAGTCCGCGAGTTCACCCGCAAGCGCCAGCCGGCAGACACCCACATCTGTCTTCCCTGGAGGCACACGCTCACCCTCCCTCGCGCCCAGCCAGAGACCCGAGGCCCAACCCGGACCCCAGCCTCAGGGCGCGCAGCTCCCCGGGACTCACCTTCGCTGCAGAACTTGCCGCCAAAGCCCGTGTGGCTGCAGTCGCAACCCACCTCGCCGGGGGCCA